ATTTGATGTAACCTCTCTATTGACTGACAACAACGCTAAGAGGCTTCAACTCACTAGACAGGCTATCGCGATGAATATGAGCATAGCTTGATTCGGGCCTTGCGCCTTCCTACGTTCTGGTGACCTTTTTATATGACCATGATAGCTTCAAAGGCGTCGTCTGCGTAAATAGCAAGGGGCCTGTCAACTGTTACAACACCTCATTATTTTTGACATTCATTGATTTCATAACGGTTTCTGAAACAGTTAGAGGAATTTGAGCCAGCGACCACCGAACTACCTTAGCTCATCAAAAAATAATTTTTCTACATCGGAATGTGCTGGTAGTAGAGCTTCAAACCTTAAATCCTAGTAGGTTTCGAATCCGAGAAAATAAAAATCGACATCAGTTCACAAAAAACCAACAGCCAAACCAGCACTCCATCTGGAGCTCCAAATTCGAAATTATATTTCGATGAGCGAAGGTAGGTTTATGGTCGCTGCATCATTATGAAATCAATGAATGTCAAAAATAATGAGGTGCTGTAATAGTTGTCAGGCCCCTTGCTATTTACGCAGACGACGCCTTTGTAGCTATCATGGTCATATAAAAAGGTCACCAGAACGTAGGAAGGCGCAAGGCCCGAATCAAGCTATGCTCATATTCATCGCGATAGCCTGTCTAGTGAGTTGAAGCCTCTTAGCGTTGTTGTCAGTCAATGGAGAGGTTACATCAAATACGTTTAGGTGGTTCAACCTGTGTCGGGAAGAGTTCGTGAGTGGTTTTCAGTGGAGAGTTGTGGACATTGCTTATTTCATAGGTTCGGTGATAATGTAAAATTTTCAGTGAGGCATGAAAATCCCAACGAATTACGGGCTAAAAGATCAGACGCTCTTGAAGATGAAGAGACAGCAGAAAGCCCAACCGAGGAGGATGCCGAGGAACCACTAGATGATTCTTCTGAGGATGCCGCTGAAGAACTTGAAGAAGACTCTGCCGAAGAAACCACCAAGAGCCGAAATGAGGAGGATGATGAGGATCCATCAGACGATGCGTCCGAAGAAGACGAAGACGAAGAATCCACGGAGAGCCCGAGCGAGGACGATGCTGAGGAATTATCAGAGGAGTCCGATGAAGATGCCCCCGAAGACAACGAACAAGACTCTACCGAGGAAACCACCAAGAGCCGAAATGAGGAAGATGACGAGGATCCATCAGACGATGCGTTCGAAGACGACGAAGATGAAGAGAGTGAAGACGATGCCGAAGAGTCGTCAGAGGATTCTTCTGAAGACGCTGCCGAAGATGAAGAAACCTCAGAAAGCCGAAATGAGGAGGATGACGAGGAGCCATCTGAGGAGGATGACGAGGATTCATCTGAAGAGGATGATGAAGATCCATCTGAGGGAGATGACGATGATTCTTCAGAAACGTCCACAGAAAAGCCGAAGGAAATTCCCAAAAAGAAACCAACAGGCAAGCGATTCCCGAGTTTCTGCAAAAATTGCAAACTTCATTCGTATCTTATGCAACGTCGATTTTCTAGTTCACTGCCCCTCTCAAAGCGAAATGACAGATGAAGTCAGACAAGTGTTCCTTGACAAACACAATGAATACCGGTCAATTTGTTTACGTGATTGATGATATGCTTCTAACTCGCCCGAATCACAAGTATTCAGATCACTCGTTGCCAAAGGAGAAGCTGTAGATGCACGAGGCGGAACTACCCCAAAAGCTGCAAAACTACCTAAACTGGTATGACTGCTCTGTTTTTATGTATTATGATCGCTAATTTAACGGGCATTTTAACTTAGCAACGAGGCATAGGTAGCTTGGCACATATGAGTCACAAGCGGAGGTTTTGTAATGTTCAATCCAGACCTACGATTGCGACATTGAGTCGAAAGCAATGAATTGGATAAAAAAGTGTATGTACATGCCATCCCGATTGAGCAAAAGATTGAACCTAGGAGAAAATATGTATATGTCATATGAGGCTAAAGATAACAAGACGGCAGCTGCAGAAGAGGTAAGACATTAGGCTGGAAGAGCTCTGCGGATAGCAATGGACTAGCTTTATTGCAGAGTACCTTCAGCTGGTTCAGCTCACTGCAAAATGTTGGCATAGNAAAATGTTGGCATAGGAGACGAGACCGTTTTCAATAAGAACATGATTTACGACGGTGTTGGTTACTACACTCAGGTGAGTTACTATACAACTGTTCTGTATCAATACTCAATGCCAAAAAAGTGCTTTAGCTGGTGTGGCAAAACACCCACAAAATTGGATGTGCTGTAGCATCGTGTAATAGCATGACCTTAGTAGGCTGCCTCTACAATCCGAGGTAAGTGGTTCACTTTGTGAGAGGCGATATTTCCTCAAAAGATCTTTTCAGTGGCAACATCGAAGGAGAAGTCATCTATGAGATCGGGGAGCCATGCACTGGCTGCACATGCAGCAAGGATGAAGGGCTTTGTGTTGCTCAATAACTAATTTAGGAATAAACATTCACTGATAGATGAAATGTTCCATTCAGCTCTGCCAAGATTTGGAATGTATTTTCTATTCATTCCCTTTTGTTCTGATGACTTTGCTTACCATGCATAAGCAGGAAGGAATTTACAGCGCTGGCGAAATCCTACTTCGGATGTCGAATGAAAAATAGGAATCGAAAACAAAGAGCCGAAAGTTACATATGAAGGAGAAAGAACGTATCAGTGTCGGGAGCATGTGGTGCAGGAGGCAGCTTTGTGAGAAGAACAAAAGTCTACTCAAGTCGTGATGCATACCTCATCCATTACGTACTGAAATCGGTACGCCAATATCCCAAACCACTGATGCAAAGCTCGATTTATTGGTTATGGCGCTCCTTACCCAGGCTGGAGTGGTAGGAATCCAGGTCTCATCGAGAACCGGATAATCATTGCCGTATATTTGAGGTCAGATTGAGTGATGGGGTTTTAGATCTATAGTAGAAGAATCCGAGCACCAAGTCAATAAGACAAATAGATAATAAAATAATAGATAGAAAAATATGACTAGGCGAGATCACTTCGGTACATCATCAGGATAAGAAGTCGATCAAAAGAGATGTTTTCCACTTACACCAACATAAGGGTTTGGAACATAGACACAAGGGAAGGAGGCTCCGCCTATGTGTTTCGTAACCTGCAATCGCGAATTCTCGAAAGGGCAAGTCAGTAAAGCTGCTACTCATGTGGAATTCTTGAATTTTGCGATCTGACTCATGAATAAGGCTCGTTCACTGTCGGAAAAGGAAGAAGAAACGGCTAGGGGTCCAACGCGCACGGTCACTGGATCGAATCCAGGATCGATATCCGCCCAGGCCAACCAAGCCTTCCATTTCTTCGGGGTCGGCTGATTGCTACCGGACTCATCTGGGAGGATCAAAGCACCGACTCATACATCGGCTGGCCACCGCTAGTCATTGTATAGGCCCCATACGCATTCATTACGCCTCTACGATTCCAATGGAAGTCGAATGAGTGGGGGCATCTCTCAAACGGGATTGTTTAATTTGCCAAGGCTTCACCCGTATTTCTTTTATACATAACCTCGCTGACACATTCATACATCATAAATGTTACTTCCTCGTCAAAAAAAAAAGAAAATTTCTTATTGAAACATTCCAATTAATCCAGAGACTGACTCACCATTAAGTCTCCGAATCCAATAGTGAATATTGAAGTGAAACTAAAGTAAATAGCATCCCGAAATTGCAGGTCAGCAAAATAATGAAATAAAAAACCACCAATCACCGGATAAAAGCATAGTAGGAAAAGAAATATTCCTGTCGGCCATGCCATAGACTGGAAATAGGTTTGTCAAAAGTGCTTCTCTAGATGGAACTCGAAAAAAATGCCTTTGTGGGACTCTACCTTAACAAAACCTGGGATCCACATTCAAAATCTATGTCATTATTCAAGGCACCAAAGCTCATAACAATGTTTTGAGTCAGGCTTACCTCATTAAAACAGACTGTGACGAATCGGCTTAGGAACTTCCCTGTGTCAGCCATAGTGACAAGGGCCAACGGCATCCCGACGATTCCATAGACAATTAGCAAAAGTTTCCCCATCTCCGAACTGGGACAGACGTTACCGTATCCTGTACCATAAACAAGAGCTTATTCACGAAGAAAACAACAGAAAAAGTTGACTAAAGCTGCGCAAAGCTCCCCATTCGTTGTTTCCACATTTCCGACTCATATATTGCTAATCAAAGCTATAAATTACCTACGGAGCTGTTAAGATTTCAAAAGATGCATTAAACGAACCAACAGGAATGATAGTGGTAGTCGTGAATAACACCGCAGCTGGAAATGTCCAAATATCCTTCTCCAATGATTGGTTGGTGAAGTGAGTTTCAAATACATGAGCATAGTGAGGATTTTCAAAGAGCAGCAGAATGTTCCTTATGTAAGCATCGACGGTCTGTTCCACATCGTCACCTCTTTCACTGACATTCGAAACGAATTCCTTAAAAATAGATTTATGAAATGTCGATGAAAGATGGAATCGTTAAGCCTTCTGACAAACAGAGATCCACTTGTCAAGAACACACTATGCGTGGTACACTATGATGGGGAACGTCCGTTGCGTGCGTCCGTAGAAAATTGGTCACCCCGCCCACTTCGCGCGCGGCGCACCCCACTAAGGTCTCGAGATGACATCACAGTACCATCAAGTGTCAGTGGAGCGAATGATTTGCATTTGGTCGTGTTATCTCCTCTTTTGGCTTAATGCCGTGGAACAAGGGCAATTTGTATGCCTCGCTGTCAATTGCGACGTTTGTCAAAGATCGCGGGCTGAGCCGCCGCGTGGGGCGGCTGCGGCGTGACCTAATCTCGACGGACGCGCGCAACGAAGCGCACCCCACTAAGGTCTCGAGATGACATCACAGTACCATCAAGTGTCAGTGGAGCGAATGATTTGCATTTGGTCGTGTTAACTCCTCTTCTGGCTTAATGCCGTGGAACAAGGGCAATTTGTATGCCTCGCTGTCAACTGCGACGTTTGTCAAAGATCGCGGGCTGACCCGCCACGTCGGGCGGCTGCGGCGTGACCTAACTTCGACGGACGCGCGCAACGAAGCGCACCCCACTATGATACATATATTGTATAATATGTTAGAAGGTTTTTTTGCTATGTTCGTTAGATTCGAGTATGGGATGACTCCCGAGCACCTCCTAAATTTTTGACAGCAATAGAAGTCTGGTCTAACCTACACATTGCGCGCTTTGGCACTCCTACGCCCTTTCACGTGGCTAGCACACCTGGTCTTTGATAACCTCATGTTAACAAAAGTATCCCTAACCTTCGTCCGTTTGAAGAGCTAGGAATTCCGCATTGTGCTGTCACTTGAGTGCGTTCAAAAACTTTGAGCTTTATTCTTTCTACAGCACGATGAATGAGCAGTCGACGTATTTACACTTTTTCCATCTTTGGTCGCTTCGATCAAGACTCTTCCCTAGTCTATGAACTCCTGTGCTAGCGTAGCAAGCTTGGACGTCACTTGGTAAGCTTGTCTGAAGCGCGCGTTAGTCCGAGCTGGCACAGCAGCTCCAGAATTACAGAAGCGCCTCTCAGCGGCAAAGTAAGAATCAAGCGCAGAGCAAACGACGGTTGACTTTCGAAACAACAGTGATCTCAGTGGAGTTATTAATTAGGCCTTTATAGGACGCGAGGCTTTTTTTCCTGAAGAAATGGACTTCCTTCCGAGTACCTTCCAATACCTCGAATGTAAGCTTTTGGCTGTTCTAGCATGCTCATCTACGGCTAACATTGTCTCGTAATCTATGGGTCTAGAGTTGCTTCAGTGAAAGAGGACCTTAGGAAATCCATTAATGCTTTCGCTTGAGCTAATAATTGCTAGTTAAAGGCACCGTTCACGATAATTTTGGGTAATCCAGATTATGATAAAAAATGGAAGACAAGATCGAAACTAGTGCGACTGATGTGAAGGAACTGCGTGCATCGGTGTTTCTAAAGTGAAAAAAGGCTTCGAAAAATTGTTTAAAAGGGGGCTGGACGTGAATGAAACCAGAAAAATGAAGAAGGGTGAGGCGTCCGGACGAGCTAAATAGCGTGTTTCACTGCGCGCGTGTGGGTCCTGGTGCGAAGAACAGACAATGGTAAGCAAAAATTCATTCACTTATAAGCATAAATAAACAAAAAAAAACCCTAGTAACAGCAAAAGTAGCTCACCCTTTTTAGATTCTAGGAGTAGGAAATTATTAAATAAGGTATCGCGGCAGCAAAAAGAAAAACAGAGGAAAGAAGAATGGGAGAAAAACATCGCCTCATCACTCGGCGATTAGCTGATTGTGCGTGGGTCCTAGAACGAATAATAGTAATCTGTATTGTCTCGACACTCGTCTAACGTGACACCGATCGAGGGGCGGAAACGCGAACGACGGCAACAACGGGGCTGCCACTATGCCCTGGACGTCGAGACTCAATAACTTTTTTATCGTGAACGGTGCCTTTAAGGTTTTGTTAACATTAATTGCTTCTTGATTCATCAGTTGGCTCTGAATCACGAACACTCTGAATCAAAATTTAGAGGAGAAACTCAGTGTACGAAATTGTGCACAGACCGATTTTGTCCACCTACAGAAGAACTTCTAATGGCAACTCAATAAATTCTTCCCAAAACTTTTCTCGTTTCTTATCTTAGCCCTCTTATCAGGGCTAACTACTGATCTTAATGCTTCATACATATCATCACAACGTACTTTGCTCATTTTGTCAAACAATTCCAAAGCTTCAGTCCTCTTTTCAAGCTCAAGAGGTCGTTCAATCTTCTGGAACAGGTGCGCTCCAAGCACAATATAAGTTATGCACGTGATAACCAGGGCGATGTGAACGAATACAGCACGAAATTTCTGAAAACATTTTTCTAAAGTTTGAGCAGGAAGTCTGTCCCAGGTTTACTTCATTAGACAACATGAACTGACGCTTCTTTTCCAAAAATTCTGCTCGTGCTCTGCTGAAGAATTGGATCTGCCACGTTTTCTTGCACTCATATCCACTGGCTCTTATCAAGTTGACAGCTCTTCATCATCATTAATTGCCACAGTAGAAAACTGGAAGGAACAAATACTACAAGCATACTTCTCATAAAGAAAAGGTCACTCTGGAAGTGACCCATTCCATGAAGAAAAGGCACTCAGGTAGTGTCCAATTTGAGATTAAATCAGGAACTTGGGCGCAGAAAACCTACAATCTTTGCTATATTCAGACCACATAAGTGGTGTGTCTGTCTGTTTGTCTGCCACAAAATTCTGTATCCTTACTAGATGAAAACCCCACAAACTTGGTGTGTCTGTTTGTTTATTTGTTTGTTTTCCGTGTGCTTGTTTGCCTGTCTGTTTGTTTATTTGCCACAATATTCGGTATCATCTGAAGAAGCACCTGAACAGATCCAAACAAGTAGAGAATGTGTGGAGTTTAGGGCGAGACCAGCAGGGCGCATATTAGCCCAGCGGAACCACGTCCCCAAAAGGCGGGACGTGCGCCGAAGTGAATGGTGATGAAGGCGAAACTACTTATTTCGGCTTTAGAAAAGCACAGACACCAGAAAAAAAAAATGGGCGAAGGTTAGGAACGGGGCGCAACCCAGATGAACGAGGTCCACCTATGGGGCGGAGCGTTCTCAGGTTGGGAGTAAGTAAACTTCTATATGGATTTATAACTTGGTTCAAGAAAGGCGTGATACAAGAAAAAAAGGGCCTCAAGACCTAGTAGGTGGTGGTCATGCGTAATTCTAGAGAAGCTCCGCCCACGGTGGGCGGGGCGTTCACTGAAACAAAAGTTACTTTAAGAAGTTACGTATAACTTTGTTGAAAACGCTCTCAAATGGGAGAAAACGGAACGATTTTTGAACGCTTTTCCCCTTTTTTGAATCACAACTAATCCATGGTCTTCCTTAAGCCTGGAGCACAAGAGTTGTCAGAATTAGATGGCTTTATTACAGCAACTACATGGGCCCTGTTTGGAGAAGAATCCGACAAGTGCAGCGTCCGCTACTCCCACCATCGACCAACAGCCCAGGTATTATTCCCACTCAGGGTAATGCACGAACATGTGACCTTGCAGTGTAAACAACATTTGACGATTTCATTTGCTCCAAGGTCCACAATAATTTCACAGCTAACGAAATGAATTAGTGTGATTCTCATCGATAAAAAAAAACTGGGACACAGACGAAATTCTCATTTTGCTTGATTAAATACAATTCAAGCTAAAATATGCCTCTTTAAATGGATAGACGAAAACCTTCATTACTTTCCAAACGGCTTAATGGAAACCTGATGTGATGGACGTGTCATGCAACTTTTTTACTGTCAAAATGGCCTATTTCTCGGTAAATAGGGTTAGGGTTTTGTATGCTTCAGCTCTTCGACTAATTCCAGCTTCAGCTATTTGACAAATCCCAAAAGATCGCTCTTGATTTAAATTCGTTACCTACTGGAAGAGATGTTCGGTATAGTTAATGGGATGTGAAAGCAAAGGAGTATTCAGACTAGTCCTTTAAAATGACCGATTCTGTGAAATCGGAAAGCTTTGAGAAACAAAAGAAGTTTAGGTGAGGTATAGCATGGCGTCCCAAATCGGACTTCCTCCGACTACTTTACTTTGATCCACTTTTTTCCGAACAGCGACACTTATCCATCCTATTTTCAAATGTCTCCCCATCTACGATATGTCAGAATTTTTATTCGTTTCTTAGAATAGAAAAAAGGAGCCATTGAGTTTGTGGATGTGAAAACGAACCTATCGGCATAATTTCTCAATAAGAAAGGGTAATTGATCACTCAAGAATCAAGAAAGGACAATGGAAGTATTCCGTGTTCATCTCGACTTCTCAGGCAATAACGGATTATTTATTTATTTGTTTGTTCATTATAGACCCTTAGAGGAGTGCCTAACTCAGCGAACAATAATCTCCATCATAAAAATGGAACTGATCATAGAAGAATAATAATGTGAAGGTAATCGTATAGAAATGCCCATTTAGAATCAAAGGGATTTCGCTACTGGCAGTCGCCTGTGGCGACAGCAGAATTTTCTTGCCGCTTGAGCGGTGGACCTTGGCCTGCGAAGAAGAAGATAGCCCGAAACGTCAGGCCGCTGGATTAACAAAGTGTTCCACCTAACAACCTCCCACGGCACTAAATTCCTACATATTTTTCCCATCAGAAGGATTCTCATCACAGAAAGTCGCCTGCCAAGGTGAACTCCCATGGTAACCAGCAGTCAAGCATGAACAGTTAGTACTGGCCAATTAAAACAATAATATATTTTATAAGGTTCCCAAAGTTGTCATTAACAAACAAGGATGGCAGTAGGCTCTGGATGGACACTAGAAAGAGGTTCTGTGAAGTTGTTAATTGGGAGGGTTGAAAGAGGAACGGTCTCAAAGGTAAAGATATTGGAAGAATATCGAAGCCCTGATTGGAATTTTCTTGGTTTTTCCAGCAATTGGCTATGTGGCAGATAAGACAGGGTAGCTGAGTGAAGAGGAAAACGAAATGAGGTAGAAAATAGTAAAAACAAAAATATACCCGCGTCGCGATCTTTTTTTTGACCGAAAAAACCACAAAACGACCGAAACGAGTACGAGAGACAATCCAAAACGTAAGAAAACTAAAGGGGCCCCTTAGGCATAACTTTCCATTTGGGATAGAAATAAAATAATGTCATAAATGAAGTCGGACGACGTACACGAACATCCATATCCATGACTTATTAGCGAAGGTCGTAATGAGGGGTGCAAGAGGATTATTGCCTGAATGAAGGCCGAAAAGCTCTCATTCGTAAGACGTGAAATAAATTCTATGCATTTCATACGACTTCATCTACATTTTGAACAATTTTAGGGTTTTTCCAACCGTAGGGTCAAAAAAGACTGGAGAGGCTTTGCATAAGTGAATGACAAAGCAATGTTTCGTTAGGTGTCGTAAAGGAAACCTCCGCTGAGACCCTATTATGGATAATAGTAGCCCAGTCTAAGTAGGCCATATATGGCTCCAGATTGATATGCGACACATTGCATGCTATATCCTGGTGGTGCGAGACAAATTACTCATAGCCAGGAAGGTTGGATTTCCGACCAAGGCTCATTCAGCTACCCTAACAGCCACATTTGAACTGAAAACCCTCAGGATTTGAAGGTCTGTACAGGGATAGCTTGCATTTTATCAAAATGGAGAATTCATGGACTTAACAAAGAAATTCTCCCTTCGATTTGAGCATCTGCAAAAGGTTAGGTAGACGGCCTAGTGCTCCACAACTCCTCTGGGATGCGCCACAGACTTGGAATCAATCCGTCTTTTCAGAGAGTACCAGTAGTACAACTCGTCCATATAGGTTGTTAGCAAAGCGTTTAGACTGAACATTAAAATTCAGAACCTAATACATGCCTTTAGAAATAATATCTTTGTCCAAAAAGGACTTTTGTTTTGGGGGCAGTAGTGGTGTGGTGGCAAGTGGCGCACTATCACACGAACAAGGTCATGGTTCGAATCTTGAACCATAGCGGCCTGGGATAACCGTGTGTTCTATCCATCCGGGGCCGGCTAATTGTGGTCAGATTCGTCTAGGAGAACAAGAGCGCTGACTTCTACATCGGCTGACCTCATTGTATAGGCTACATGCGCTTACAAACGCCTTTACGATTCTGAGAGGAATCCGAGTGCAGGGAGCATCTCGTAAATGGGACCAACGCCAAAAAGCTTCGCAAATGTTTAAGAAACTCTCACAAGAATTAAGGCTGCATTAACTGGATTTTCTGACTCTCGAGAGTTTGAAAATAACTTTTACTAGCATCTGCAAGATCAGCGAACGAATACACCGAAAACAAACAAACAAACAAACAGGGCAAACATACTCTGAACATACCTTGCACTTCAGGAGGGAAAAATGTGCACACGAATGCTGGAACGTTCCTGAAATGTGAGAAATTTCACAAAAACTTCCTTGAACAACGTCTGTTTCCACGCCAATGAGCAAATTTCATCTTTTTTCCTATCTTCATTTTTCGGAAGAGGTGTGGTATGCACATTCAGGAGGATGTGCTGCTTCCCTATAGATGATGAGGCGTGAGGAGGATTTGCACTTAATTTTCGAAATGAGCAGCGGGGAATAATTGAGGCTCTTATCCTTCGATTGTCGAGGTAGATAAAGCAAAGCCGTCTGTGAAACCCCTTGAAGGTGTTAGTATTCGGGAGAAGGGACAGAATAAACGGCTGAGCATGCATCTTTTCGAGACTCTCTAGAAAACTAGAAAACGATCGATAATCGATCGATAAGAAGTCGTCATCGATGAGCGGGATCGCAGTTTTCACAGTTTGTAGGGGGAAGTTTGAATGGTCTATGATGTCCCCAATTTCCGGTTGGACAGACTCTCAAACGCAGTGCGTTATTCAGGGCTGTTCAGGGAAGTTATCGAGTAAATCTGTCAAATTAAACTAGACTGGCCTTGGACCATTCAATTCTTCAGCCACTATTATGACAGTCAGGATATAACAAGTGGGAAGCCATGGTCTTTTCGTCGATCCCCAGATGGTATGCTTGATGCACTTCCCCATCAGGAGTCAGCACCTCTCTTGAATTTCGGAGCAGTAACTTCTCATGCCTTCCTTCTGCTACTTGTTCTCCAAGGTCTCTTCAGAGCACCACCAAACGGAATCGCAATCACCAGAATGAGTGCAGGAAGACTCCCATACCCAGTCTTGCCACAACCGCCTTGTGCCATCGGGTAGGTGTCTAAGATAAGAGAACACAGCTCTGTTTGAGTGCTTAGGCGAATTCGAATAAATCAAAGCAATCACAGGCACCATAATGTTTTTGGGTGAAAGGGGGATAGGGGAGCATGCTGACAAATGTCGTCCAGCTTGTTTTCGTTACTTTAGAGTTCATAATCCTTTACGACCTTTTTAGGCAAGGTGAATCAACGTCAGATGGCATTGACAAGACCTTTGAAGAATGCAAATCTAATTCGACCTAAGCCATTTAATCCTTC